TTCCCTACAGATTCAATCATAAGGAAGTGATAGTTTGCAATTACGTCATTGTGTATTTGCACACCAACATTGCAAATTGCTTTAACGCACAAGATGGGGAAACATGTTCTGGAAACTGAGCAAGGATTCCTAACTCAATGCATAGAAAGGTAGAAGAATCCAAGAGCATTGATCAGTTTAAGATGCTGTCTTCACAGAATACAGGTGTATTTGGTCTTTCTTCCCAATAGCAACCGTGATCCATGCTATTAATTTATTCTGTATTTATTCCCAAGATCATTGTTGTTATTTCTTGTCTGGCAGAAATTTACTTTGTATGAAATTATCTAAGTATTCCTTCTCTCAACTTTGCAGTACAGCATGTTTGTTTTTTCTTCATTTTCACAGTGAACCCCTTTTTCGACAACTATGTGCTTTACACTGGCTTTTGGAAGCTTTGACTCTTGAACCTAACTGCTCTATAAAATCTGTGTTAACCTGCTGGAATCCAAAGTATGTGTGCATTGCATGAAGTTTTTGATGGGATGAGACTTTTTTCATTTGAAATGTTATTATTTCTCTCTCTTCTGTTATGTAAAAATTGAGTGACATTATTACTACTTCTGGGCCACACATCCCTGCCAAATTTTGCACAGAATTTCCTGTTTGAATCAGTGGGGAGATGTAAGAATCAGTGACACAGCATGGCCCTCCATTATTATACCCTGCAGCATTAACTAAAGTACCTTGTGTTTTCCAAACCAAATGTACTTTTTTTTAGATTATGCAAATTAATATATGTAATAATGACATGACTGCAGCTTTCCTTGCATAGCTGTCCCAATGAAAGGAAAAGGAATTTCACATGTACTGTGTTTATAATACAATGCCTGTTATCTATTTATTAGCTATTTTTTATCAGCTGTTTATGACAACAATGGTATTTTTAAACAAAGAAATTACGTCAGAACCTTTATATTGTTGTGTAATCAATAGTAGATACTGTTTTAATTTTTTACATTTTCAACCTATAGGTGTAACAATGTTGAATGTAAATGTGTTTGCATTATTCAAGATGTTTTGCTAACTGTATACCTGAACATCAAACAGAACAATAGTCATGAATTAAATTATATTCTCTGATTCCACAGAGCAGCCTCTTCAAGGCTGTTCTGTTTTTTCTCCCTGCATGAGTAGAAATCCCATTGAGACAAATAAGTACTCTGCTTATATACAGTAGAGATAACAGAATAGCCTTGAAGACAGTTAGGTAGGTGGGTTGTAAAGGGAAGATTCATCCAAAATGTTCACCCATGGAGTGTAGACCAGGCAAGAGACCAAGGGGTGGAGTTGCACATATTTATAAGCAGGCTTTACAAACAAGAAAGGAATATAGGGATTCAGGACTCTTGGGATCAATTCCAGTTCTGTTTCCTGTATCCCAAAAGTATCTGCCCCCTTCTGCTTGTATCTGATGTGGCTCCTTTCCTATCCTCCTCTTCTCCTATGCAACTCCCTCTGGATCCTGTCCCCTCTGCCCATATGTATCTTCACCACTTTTGGCTTCTGTATTGCTTTGACTCTGCTTCAGATCAATTAAAAAAAAAAAAAAATACATTGCAAGGAATAGTTCAGCCCAAAGAATTAATGTTTGGCAAAGTTATAGGCAACTGAGTCTTATAAGGGGATAGTTTTGGGTGACCTTAAATATTGGTACCAGTGTAAGCTCCACCTGTCTTAAACCAAATTTGCCATCAGTTGCATCCATGAAGTCAAATCATTTTAGACCATTTTCTGCACTGCCTTAAAACATCTGGAAATGGGAATGCATGGACATAGCTGAGAATGTAATATGGCCTAATGCATCTGTGGTATGTTTGTAGTACATGAGTTCAGCTTTCTTAATATTTTTCTTCATTTTTGACTATCAGTCACTCAGAGCTATAACACTTGTGAGTTATCACTCCCCTCCTTACAAGTGAAGATAAATGTCATAGCAGAGATCAGCCACCATTTATTCTCTATTTATTGCATTTCTAAAAAGAACGTGTTGTAATAAAAGCAAGATTCTGGAAATGGAAAACTCATTAAATTGTTTTTCACTTAGGGACCCTGGTGGCAGTAAAAGTACATTAAAAAAAATCAATAAGGAAAAGACAGCAAGGTACAGATGGGAGCACTTTATCGTGGACACAAAGGTAACTTCATTGCTAATTTCTGCTTTATGACCGAGTCTAACTTTCAAAGTATTTGTTTTCTCTGTTTTGTTCCCTAATGTTACTCCCTGATTTGATATTTTATGTTCTGGAACTTGTGATGTCTTGATACTTGGCTACCTGGATTTTAAAGAAAAAGTATTTTGACAATGGATAACAGGAAGACCAATATTTACCTATCTATAGGACTGAAACTGTGGCATCAACTTATGAAGTAGTGATGTTGTTGGGGGAAAACATGTTGTTAAAAAATACTTGTGGGTACCTGAAAATATTAGCCTCTTGTATTTGCTCCATATCTTACTACCAGGAGACTCAACCCAACTAATCCAATCCTAATGATTAGTCCTTACCCCAGTAGGCACTGAAGCGGGTTTGAGAGTTACTCGGTGAAGTGAGATTTTGACCATCGAGTTGTAGTTTGTTCATTTTAGGAGTCTCATCCTGGCATCTTCCTGGAGTTGCCTGGCTTTTTTTTTCCCCTTAATTAAAACTTAATAATTACGTTGGAAAATAAAATCCAAGTGCCAAAGCCAGTACAAGAAGTAGAAATCCAGGGGAAAGCAAAGGGAAA